GGTAGGGACGTTTTTAAAAAGTAATTTTAATGGGAACACAGCAATCAATATTTGGCTTTTAATTAGGTTTTAGTGGGGTTATTTTGTGTATTTTTGTATGATTTTTTTGTATCCTGTATATTGTATTTGTGTTTTTAATATGCTGTGAACCGCCCTGAGTCCTACGGGAGAAGGGCGGTATACAAATTAAATTAACCATTAACCATTAACCATATCAGATGGAGTGTCTATAAGAGCTTTTAGTTCACAATAGAAAAGCTAGATCAGAGGAAAGAGCATAGCTTAGTAGCATAACTACTCTGCGTGTAAAATAAATCCTTAGCAGCTCCAGGATGAGTAGAGCAAATTTTATGTCTGGAAACGTGAAAAGCCTCTCTGACAGGCAGCACTGACAACATCAATTTAGATAGTTCTAGATTCAACATAAGTCACCACCATATTTTTTTTAGATTGTTGTGTGAATTAGGCCACAGTATTAAGCATAATGAATTTCTGTGGTACCATTTCAGACTTCTTCTGAGATGGAACTTTAAGGGTAAGGCAGGGATGAAATCCCATTCACCCAACCTAATACCTACTTTCCACAGAAGTAAAAAAACAAACTTTGATGATATCACTAGAAAGTCAAGAAACTGAATAGCTGAGCAAAATTCCTATATCAACCACAATATGGCTTGCTTGGGCCATATTTCAACATGTAGAAGACAACAAAATGAGATACAAAATGCAGTAACATGAGAGCTAAGGAATGATGGCAAAGGCTACATTCAGAATTGTATTATGAGGAGGGACCTGAAAAAGTTGGGAGTAAGGGGCAATCTGACTGTTGGGAACTACTGAAGTTTTGAGAACTTGTAAAAGTAAAGTCCCTGAACCACCAGCTCTCTCCATCTTGCCAGTATATACCAGCAAGCTGATGGAGTAGAGGCAAAACCAAATCTGGCCAACTATTTATTATTTATTACAGATTTATATGTCATCCATTCCCAAATTCAGCCACACTCAGACATAATTGTCCTGCTCTTCCTACGAGGCTTCCATCTAAGCCTCGTAACAATTCTTGGACAAGGCTGTGTAATCATTCACAAATCATATGAGTTTAAAAATACTATAATACAACATGTGCAAACACGTTTAAAGCAGCTACACCCACAGGTTTCTTTCAATAAACTAGGAAATTTTTAGAGCACAGATATGCTCCCCCAAAATGTCATTACTTGTCATCTTTCAAGTTTGCTTACTCAGCAGTAGAGCTTGGAAAAAGTCAAAACAAATCTGTGGCAGAGATTTAGCTGATGAAATTTGGAAGAATCAGGAATATAGCTACAACTCCTAAGAGTTACACAGATTCTTCAATGTTTACAACCATCAGAGGAAACCTATAGGTAGAAGAAATGCAACCAGGTATTATGAGACAGATTTAAGAACAGAAGCCTCAGACTCAGACAATTTTTCCCAACTGGATGTCTTCATGCAGCTATATTTGGCTAAGTTGGCTGGTTTATACAAATTTAAACCCAATCCATTTGGAGGACACTAGGTTGGGGAATCCAGCCATATTAATTGTAAACACATCTATACAGTATGTTGATTCCAAGTGGATCAATAGGGAGAGCTGGAAAATACCTTACGATCTACTCCCAGGCAAAAAAAATATCAAACATGCTAGTTGGGAAGAACAAAAATGTGCTATGAGCAAACTAGGAAATGATGTAGAAAGAGAAATATTTGAGGAGAGTGAATACTGACTATGATAAAAAGAACCACCTACATGGAAGAAAATGAACAGAATTGAGATGTGGAATGTCTCAAGCATGAACAATGCAAAGCTAGACATCAAGAAAGAAATGACAATGATCAAATAGGCATTCCTGGCATCACTGAGATAATTTTTGGTCAGATGAGTTTATGCAGTATTGTTCTGGAAGTGACACCATCAGAAGCACTGATAACAAATAAATATCACGAATCAGTTGACAGCTTCAAAGCACTAAATGCAAAAATAATAGCTGATCAAATCCAAACTAAACCTTTGAATGTCTCATTTGTCCAACTTTATGCACCAACAGAAGTATCTGAATAGTTCTACGCTGACATTTAAGGAGTGTTATAAAAAGGTTGAAAAGAGATAGAATATACTTTATACACCAAAATTGGAGACAATGAAGAAGCATAAATTGTTGGTAGATATTTTATACTAGAAAAAAATGAAGCAAGTATCTACTGCTGAAATATATATTCATTTCCATTCAGAATCTATCACAATATTACATTTTTGTTTCTCTGAATAAATCAGGCTTCACTACATTCCTCTTCATTCAAAGAGGTGTCAATTCAGTGTATTTTTCTTTTTCCACTGCAATAAGTGCTATAAACAAATGATAAGAATAGTCATTGATCAACAGTTGGCTACCTTCTCAATCTTGAGATCTGCTCTGTCTTCTATCTTATCTTGCAGTAGCAATCCCCTTGTTTCAGACAGAATAGGCAAAGCAACCAAAGAGAAAAATGGGTGATGAAGTTAAAAGAGAAATCCTTCCAGGAAACTGGGGGCCCTTAATATATGGAGTAGCTTTTTATCTCCAGGATATTTCCCTCATGTCCAATAAATGGAAACAGGAAGGAGAAAATGAGCTTCTTGACAAACTGAGCCCCCCCCTTCCTATTTGTGTACACTTGTCATCCCTAGTTTCGCAGTTATTTGCATCTGCTAAAATATACTTTGGCCAGTTAAAGCAGATACCACAGTCAGGTTAAGTGGAAGGACTTATTTATCATCCTGAATTGCCTTTTTTTTGCTTCTAGCCTGATATCTAATCCCAGCAATTGTGATTTGTAAATCAAGGTGTACAGCAAAGCATGCTGTGTGAACTCAACTGATGTGGATTATTCTACTAACCCTGGTGAAAGAGGCCTGACTTCAACACAATGTGTAAAATTGTGATAGGACCCTCAGAAGAACTGTGCAGGATCAAAGTCCTTCAGTTCAGTTTCACAATGAGCAAAAATTATCTCTCAGAAGCTATTAAACACGATGTAAGTTCTGAAGCTTGATTTTATTTATTTATTCACCTAAGTGACTTTGGGCAGCTTACAATAAAATGGTATCCTGTTGGCATTTCCCAGCAACTGGGAACATACTGGCTCAGTTCACATAATGGGTATAATGTAATGGGGTTAAGTAACTCTAATTCAATGGGAACCCATACAGTACCAGTATGGTACCATCACATTAAGCCATAATATAACTTATTTTGGGGGTGTATCAAGTAAGAGAACCTAGCAACTATGGGTTGATAATCTTTAGGTTAATCCATTATATGAACGACCCCCCCCCCAACTCTGAAAACTGCAATTAATGTCTAGCTAACCTGCTCAACAGATTCCAATTATTCTGGGGAAAAAAAATGGCATTCAGGCAAGTACACAAGAGCACGGTAAGAGACTCTTAAAAGAGAATATTTGTAGCTCAGGGTTGAAATGAGGGGTCCTTGGTGTTCTGAGGGCTTGGTTGTTTTCTTGCAAACCTTTCATTATCCAAACTAGGTAGCATCATCAGTGCCTTTCCCCTCCATGTTTTGGAAGAATGGAGGATCTCACTGAGTTCATCACAGACTATTCCCTCCATCCCCCCCCAACCCCCCGCCATTCCTTACACTCCTTTCGCAAACCTCGGTCGCTCTTTGGGGTGCCCCACTTGCTTTTTTTTTTTCCTTAACGGCATCTGCTCTTCCCACGCTCCATCTCGCCCTATTCCCCACCCCGAGCCAACGCGGGCAGAAAGGACGAGACGCTGTCGGGGCTGCCTCCTCACGTCCCACCCCGACTTACTTCGCGGAAAGCGTGTTGATGGAGCCGGTGATCAGCATCAGCGCCGCCAAGCACAGCTGGTACCTCGTCCAGGCCATCGCTGCTGCCTGCCGCTCTCAAGTAAGCAGGCAGCCCCAACTATCCCCTGCAGCGGCTCGGGTGCATTTCCTCCTCGGCACGTCACATGACCGCCATCGATCAGCTGACAGTCGGCTGCGCTGGCAAGGGCGCCCACGTCTTCCAAGCCGCCTTCTCAGCAACGACCGTGTGTGTGTGTGTGGGGTGGGGGAGCTCGTGACTCTGTCCTCTCTCTCCCCCCCCTTCCTCCCTCCCTCACTGGAAGTCGAGGGATGCTTTGCGAGCAGATTAGGCGGCAGAGGAGTCTTTTCGGAAGAGAAGCGGAGGCTGTGCGCTTTAACTGAAAGCAGGCAGGAGTTCGGCCGGTGAAGCTTCCTCTTCCGTTCAGCTTGTTATTGTCAAGAAGGGATTTGTCCTTAGCTATTGGCCTCCCTAACGATCACAATGTGCATTGTTTGTGCTGCAGTCCTAAGGAGTGACGGTTGAAAAACTAATTTGAGCCAAGCATTTTAGAGAAAGACCCAGATTTTGCTGTTAGCGCGAAGTAAGTAAGGAATAGCAGAGCTGGGCAGAAATTAGGCTTGCTAGATATGGATATGGAACTGAAACTGCAGACAGAGAAGGAAGTGTTTCTGCTAGAGGCCCTTGTCCCACATTGCTCATCTTAAAAAATTAAGGAGAATTCGACTTGGTTAATACTTAGGTGGGAGATCATTAAGATATTCCATTCCTGAAGGCCAGACTGAAAAGTTGAAGAAACATTTTGAAATAAAGCAATGGTAAGCTTAGCAGTACTATTGCAAAGAAAATTCCATAGATACACCCAAGTAATCAGGAGAAATCCAGCGCAATTTGTCTTTTCTTTTCTTTACTTGACATGCCACGCTTCCTGATAGATCAAATCTCTGATTTGCTGCAGACTGGAGATTCTAATTCAGAATTTTTTAAAATTGTCAGCACAGTTCACTATGAACCAGAGCAAAATGTAAAATTAATAGCTTTATTGAGGTTGGTTGATCAAGAGGCTTGCATTTTTTGAATGTACAAGGAGATGGTACAGGTAAGTGTTCAAATAAATGATTTCGATTCAAAAGTCTGTTAAATTACTTAACATTCTATGAATAATTACTATCTATATATAGTCATCTTTGGCTACTCTCTTACATTTAATTTCACCAATCATCTCATTTTACTATTTTCACCTCTGCTCAATGAATCTGATACAACAGTGTATTCTCTTGCAAGGATAATGCTGTACAAATTCAAATGAAGTGATTCAAATGTAGCCAATTGTAATGTTAATATTTATTTTAATATTTTATCTTGTCTTACTTGGTTGTAAGCCACATAGAGTCGCCTCTTGATGAGATGGATGTATACATATTTAACAAATAAATATAAATTTGTACTCCAGGAAATCACTGCTATTTTACCAAATGTCACAGAACTTTTTATAGTTTTCACTGTTTAGTCAATTTGTTTAGCTTAATTAAGTTGAATTTGGACAAAGATCTACTTATGCTTCTTTTTTGAGGCAGGCATACTAGGCCAGTGATGAGTTCTGGAATGCCACATTTTGGAACAATAGCAAGGCAAGTATGTGATGCTTTACCACACTTCAGTGTGCTGAGGCCGCATACGGTAGTTGGGAGTGACTTGGTACTTCACAGTTTCTAGAAATCTACCCCAAATATTTCTAGGCACTTGTCTTGCTACTGTTCCAAAATGCTTTGCTATGTTATGCAAAGTCAAAATGTGACCCTCACTTTCTTTTGCATTTGCCCTCAGCCTGAATCTCAAGAAAATTAAGAGTTGACAACATCTGAAAAGGCCATTTTATCCTTCCTTGCAGAAGCTGCTGTTTTGATTAGTATCCTGAATGTATTGGTTTGCTTGCAGAGCTGTAGGAATCTCAGCATGTTTTTTCTGCTCTGCAGGGTCTAAAGAAAGTTAGCAATAAAGTAGTGAAGACAAAGCAAAAGAATCCATCAGAAACCTACGTTAGCAATGCCTGATTAAATATATGGTTCTTTTAGTAGATACCCTAATATCTATCAAGCATGGCAAAAAAGAAGTAGAAAAATAAAATCCAACCGAATAACAGTGGCTCAGTTCAATTTGCTTCGTATCTTGGTGAAAACATATCCATTGGTGTGCACGAGATTTTAAAAAGTGCCTCCAGACTTAAAACATTACACATGTGAATTTAGACTTTTATGGTATTATAGTTGTTCGGAAATGCAAACACTGAAAGCTCTTTTAGTCTGTTGAGCTTGATGAGTCATCTTGAAATTAAAAAAGCTGTTAAAGCATATGCCTAGTTTCTCCAGGAGATTTACCGTGCCCGAGACAACATACAAATCATAACTAACATTCCTTCTGGCATTTTGAATTGTGTCTCATTAGGCAACTGATGAATTTGGCTGTATGGGTGACTGACCATATTTTCTTGAGAACCAGATTCAATACCTGACACCTCTATTTTTAAAAATGGAGAAGCTATTACTGGTTTATTACTCTTGAGTAATGGAGCTGTTTTGCCTGGAATACATGCTATGCATTAAATCTACTGAAGCCTCCATTTTTCTGCTACAGCAGGGATCCCCAACCTGTGGGCCGTGGCCTGCTGGCCACCGGGCTGTGGGACAGGCTGGCCAGTGCACGTGTGTGTGTGTGCACACTCCCTCACTTGTGCTAGCGATGTGGCTGCAGGGTGTGAAAATGGGCCGCTGCCCCGCTGCACAAAAATGGGCGCCACTGCGCTGAGGGACACAAAAATGGGTGCTGCTGCGCTGCAGGGCGTGAAAACGGGCCGCCACCATGCTGCAAGGTGCAAAAACGGTGCTACGCCATGCAAGAATGGGTCAGGGTTAGTGAGTATCACACAGGTGCTATCCCTGCCCCATTTGCGGCGTGCGTGTGCGTGCGGCCCCATGCATGTGTAAAATGCTTCCCCTTCCCTTTCCCTCCAGTCCGCCAACCGAGAAAGGTTGGTGACTTCTGCGCTATAGCAGGGGTCCCCAACCCCAGGTCTATAGACTGGCACCGGTCCACAGGATGCCAGAAACTGGTGAAGCCCCATCTGTGGGATGCAGGCAGCATATGAAACCACGCCCCCTCTGGTCCGCGGAAAAACCTCCATGGAACCAGTCCCTGGTACCTAAAAGGTTGGGGGCCACTGCGCTACAATATAGAATGTATTGTATATAGTTTGGTGCCCCTTACTTTTTGTGTTTTTAGGTGTTTTTTTTTTACTAACTGTAGCACTATTTCTGAAATCTCATGCAATGTAGGATTTTTGGCTTGGTGTTAAATTCTCGACTGTGCTCTAAAACTGCCTGGGCAGCAGAATAGGCCGAAATTCTTATATCGGTCTGTTGTGGAAAGCAACTTTCAGAGCTGTCTTCACAGCTGACCAGTCTAAATGCTAGCTGGAGTAGGTGTCCAAGAGTAGCTGAGATGGACTTTGTCACATATGGAATAAAATCCTCCAATCCTTCTCTGCCACAGAGGGGAAGAAGGTTTTTGAGAGACTGCATGCATGGGAGAACAGAGAGAAAGGAGTAACTGCTGACCAAGGAAGAAAAAACTGGGTTTTAACAGGTAAAGGGGAAGCAGAGGCAATGCTTGTTTCAGGAATCTTGTTTATTTCTGTAGAAACGGGTAAGCGTTTAGATAAGAATTTGCTATTAGAATTTTGATTTGATATGAGTGTGCTAGCTAAGTCTTTATTGTAAACTTGTGACTATGTCTCTAAATAAAATGATTAATGTATAATTCCCACAGTTGTCATGTATTTTTTGAATTGCGTTCAAGAATCTAGCTTAACAGGCTTTAAATGATCACTTTTCTTTCAAAAGCTGGAGCTATGTAAATTTGCAACTAAACATGGATAGAAGAGAATATTTGTAGCTTAGGATTGAACTGTGGGATCCTTGGGGCTCTCTGAGCTTGGTTTTTTTCTCACAGGTGTTTCTTTACCAAATACTGCCTGATGATGTTACCTAGTTTGGTAATGAAATGTCTACAAGAAAGTAACCAAACTCAGAGAGCACCAAGGAACCCTGCAGCTAAACAATGAAGTGGTCAATCCTCCCAGATAGTCTGATGGAGCAATGCTCTTGTTTCCCCTGAAATTTGGCAGCTCTGTAAATTATCTTTTCCTCAGAGCTGTTAATATTTAAAGTTTAAAAGGGCTACTCCTTTGGAGTTTTTTCTGTTTTTTTAAAAAATAAAGTTTAATTTTGTTTCTACCCCTTGAGATTGGTCTATCTACAAGGACAGAAGGGTTGAAACCTCTGGGCACTTGGGTGGCAAATGGCCAGGAGATTATGTTATAGAATTTAAAAAAAAAACACTTTTACCCAGTGCTTTTTTTCTAAAAAAAAAAAAAAGGTGCCGGAACTCACACATTTCATACAACCTGCCTTGCCTACCCTACAAGGTTCCATCCCAAAAAGGTGCCGGAACTCCATTCTGGGCATTCTATGAGAAAAAAAGCCCTGCTTTTACCTAGTAATTGTCACAAAGTAACACAAGATGCAGTATTTCTCATAAATCAAGGTTAAGGGGAAGAATGCCAAGTGAGGCACTCTAGAAAATGATTTGTGGTAGTGAAAACTAGTCCAAGGACAGGAGGCCAGGTCTGGGAGTGAAGAATCAAAGGGCTGTTAGGATAGGAGGTTCTGTCTAGGGGTTCTGTTGAGTTATTACAGTGTCACAAGATATATATTTGGTTTTAGAATACCTTGTTGTATGAAGCCGCCAACAATAATTGGGTTCATATAGCATCAGAACCACTGAGGACTTAGCAGTTGCACTAGCCAAATGTGCTAGACTTGTTAAGTTTATCCAGTTTTTAGTGGCAGGCAATATTGTGCAAATTCAGCCTGCTTGATCAGCCTAAAGCAGGGGTGTCAAACTTGTAACGTCATGTGACATGTCTCGATGTATCATGACTTTTTCTCCATTTCCAGCAATGGGGTAGGCGCAGTTTCGGCATGACGCATCCGGTCCGCAGGCCGGCATTTTGACACCCCTGGCCTAAAGGCTCTGTAGAATA